CTGCACGTTGTCGCCGCCGTGAAGTCTGAAAGGCGAACGAGTTTCGTGTTTATTTTCCTTTCCTTTCTCTTTGGGTCATTGTTTTTTGTGTTGTTATTTTTTTTTCAACCCAAACGAGCTCTCTTACCTGTATCCGTCGTAGTCGACAATGACCAGGATCTCGGGGTAGATGACGTAGGGCGCCTCCCGCTTGACGATGGACCTCCGCGATCTCGACGCTCTGACGGGCAGCGCGTCGGGCTCCATGAAGGCTGCGGAGGGCAGGCGAGGCACAGGACGTTACGACACGTTACAGGCTACAACATCGGTTTGCTTTACGCTGCACGACGCGCGGCCCAGAGATGTCCATCTCATCGGGCGTGCGGTTGCACGATCGCCAAAGCTCGCCGCTAATGCCCCTAAGCGACCCTTCCTAGACCGCCCCGCCGCTGACCTTTCACGCAGGACGGGTGCGGCTAGGCTTGCCCGGCTCTCGCGGCCCTGCCCGGCGCCTGCCTGCTCCGATACTGCCATTGCAGTCCGACTGGCGTGATGTGACATTCCGTGGACACGCTGCATAATGGTCAGCCCGCGAAGGCTTTCCGGCACCGCGGCGCTACCCGCTGACCTATAAGGAGCATCGCGAGCCCGTCAGCGAGCGAACGACGCCGTCGAGCCGAGCCGCGCGGGGGCGGCGCAGGAGGAGGGGGTAAAACATTCAAACGAAACGACCCGCGCGAGGCGAGGCGACCGCGTCGGGGGGAGAAATAGTTACGGGGAGTGTAGGGGAGTAGGATCGAGAAACTGGGGCACCGCCGCCAGAGTATGGATGCGCCGCGGAGGCGTCGTGGCGCCGTAAAGGAGCTCAGCCGCGGCCGCCCTCCCGCGGCGCCGCGGAGCCCGCGGAGCAGGAGACCCGCACGCGGGGCGGAGGACGCTGTGCGCAGCGCGGCGTCGTGATGGACGCCCTCGGCCGGCTAACGATATTCATGGTGGTATTTAGGTTTGAGGTCGGCGGTACCGTGTCGTGGGGCAGGCCAGGCGCACGGGCGAGGCACGCGGCGAGAGAGATACGGTGACGCGACGAAATTAGCGAGGGGAGGGCAAAAGTCAAGCAGGCGAGCCGTTTGTTGCACGGATTGCAAGTTCAAACGGCGCGCGCGCGCGCGCGTTTTCTTGTCCCTCGCCAACCTTGCTAAAATAAATAAAAAGTGAATTTAATGTTGGCCATGGGCTTAGGCGGCTTAGGCTCGCAACGCGGTCATTAGACGCATCCTGCACACGCCACGGTCCGGCTCGGGGGGGTCCGCTGCTCTGGAGGCAGAGCCGAGCCGAGAGATGTCTGACGGTCGGCGTGACGTAAGCCTTGGTCCGCCCTGGCGCCGCGCGCAACCAGGGCGGAGTGAGTCCTGCGGGCCCTGCGGGTCCTGTGGGTCCTGCGGGGGTCCTGCGCGGCCGGGGCCACCACCTCACCGTAGTCGCTGAGGTCGGGGTGCGCCTCCGCGGCCTCGCTGCCGGCGCGCTTGTACACGATGTGGGCGTGGTGCTCGACGGAGCGCCGCAGCCGCCGCCTCCCGGGCCCGGGGCTGTCCTCGAAGCGCACGTCGCCGTTGGAGTCCTTGCCGAGCGGGAAGCCGCGCACCGCCTCGTCCTGCGACGCGTCCTCCTCGTCCAGGAACATCTCGTCGTCCGGGTCCTGGTGCTTGGACGGCGCGCCCAAGTGCTGCCTCACGGAGGCGGGCACGGGCTTCACCACCAGGTCGTCGCCGATGGTGCCGTCCTGCGGGGGAAAAGAAATGAGACGAGTTTGTTAGTAGTGTCCATGCGCGAGCCATCAATCCACCACCCCAGAGAGACGCCGCACTGCTCGAACTGCAACGGCAATCCGAAGCAATCCGCGGATGATCAGCGGTCACGTGGTCAGGGCCGCCGGGTCCGCCGCCCAAAGACCTCCCCGCCGAGGAGCTCGGGCCGGCCAGCGATAAGGGCACCACTTTGCAGCGCACCCACTCGCCTCGCAACAGCAACGCATCCTCAAATGTTAACCCGCACTATGAGGCTATGGTGCTCCGAGCGCGGCGGCTCGCCGTGGGAATATGCCGGTGGGTCATAACTCCCGTCAGGTGCGCGGGTGCTCCCAGATGGATAGTCCGACGGGGTAGGAGGCAAAGTAGGCGAGTTACTGTGATCGCTTTTCGGGTACACCGGATTAATAACGAAACTGCGACTCCAGTCAAATAATTTTTCACCCATTTCAATTACCGTCTTAATCCCTCCAGCCACCAGCCATGCAATAATTACGAAGTCTCTGCCCGTTTTCGTGGACACGCCTGCTTTGCTGCCATCCTTTTTCATACTGCCGTGCGGCGTGTGGTGGTGGTGGTGGTGGTATGTGATTCTCTGACCTCGCACGTTTTATTTTTTTTTCTTTCTCCCGCTCCTCTATACTAGGTTCCCAGGTGCCGGTCGGTCGGTACCTACCGCAGTAGACTCCCTTACCGGGCACGTCTGCAATTAGTCCGTGACCCGCGCAGGTGATTTTATTACCTCGCCTTGAGCACGCGGTCCGCGCGCTAGGACTTAATCCCTTTCCATCTCCCTCTCTTTCTCTCCCTGCTCTCCCCCCCCTCTCTCTCTCTCTCGCTCCCTCCCGTGATTGGAGTGCGGTGTCACGGATGGGATAGATGGCCCAATCACTTTGCCACTCCGACGTCATGCGTTGCCCAAAACGGCACAAACGCGTCCCTCTCTCGATTCGCCCCGCGCAGCTCTGCGCAGCCTTGACATGGCGGTGCGGGGCACGGTCAAGGCGCTCTGCACCGAGGGGCGGGGCGCGGCGGGGCGCGGCGGGGCGCGGCGGGTAGCGAGCGCGGCGATAATTACCCCATTGCACCCGTCGCCGCCGACGTGCCGCAGCGCCGCGCCGCCGCCGCCACGGCACGCAGCCAGCGCCAGCCCCAAACATGGAGTCCTGCAGGAGCTGCTCCGCATTTATTTAACGCCTCGCAGGACTGCTGCTGCTGCTTCTAGTTGTGCTCCTCCTGCTGCTTCTAGTTCTGCTCCTCCTGCTGCTCCTCCTACTCCTGCTGCTGCTGCTCCTGTTGCTCGTATCTCCATAGGAGAGGCACTCCTCGAGGCTCCTGGTGGAGGTGGAGGCTCCAGTGGCGGCAGGTGAGCGATGGGAAGGAAGGCGCGAGGAGGAACGACAAGGACGACCCGTTCCGAGTGACATCATCACTCTGCTCGACTTATCGGGGCCTGTCGTCGTCCGTGACGTCACCGTCAACTCTCTACCAGCCTGTCCGCACACCACCATCATGGTAAGGGCGGGGCATACACACACACAACAGTGCAGTGGAAATAGTTGCAGGCAGGAGACGAGACTCAAGGACGCCGCAGCTGCAGCAGCTGCAGCAGCTGCCACACCTGCGCGCCTCCTCGGCGCACCTGCTGCTGGTCGCTATGCCGTCCGCGCCGTGCGCCACCCAGGTGCCCGGGCGCGACCTGCCCTTTTCCAACACACCCGGATGCCTTGCTTCGCCGCCGCGCCGCGGGCGCGATCCTGCTCGCACGCTCCATCGTGCAGACTCACCAGGAGGTAGGAGCCGTCGGGGTCCCGGTGCAGCAGGAGGGCGGCCTCGTTGTCCTCGTCCTGGAAGATCTCTCCGAGATGCTCTCCTTCCTGGAACAGAATAAGGGCGCGCGCGAGGTGTTAGAGAACAATAATGACATTAAACGTCTCAATCGGACACGCCGCTCTGCGGTCGGTGTGCGGCTGAGTGTGGCGCTGAGAACGCGCGCGAGACCTTCGCGGGGCGGGGCGGGGCGGGGCGGGGCTGGAGGGCGTGGTGCTCGCATTATTCCCGCCTCGTCCACGCCGCCGCCGCTGGCTGCACCCGCCGCCCCCACTCGGCCGCGTTCTAATGGTGCGAAGCTCTTCGCAGGGAATCTCTGCTGCTGCTGCTGCTCTCCGCCGCGAAGCTCCGCGCCCGTCGCGTCGTCACCGCCGCCGCGAAGCCCCCCAAGCCCCCGCGCCGGGGAAGACAATAGCGCTGCTGCATGGAGACGGAGGCGCCTGCTCGCCCCGCGCCTGCTGCAGGCTCTGGATGGGTAAACGAGCATCGAGAGGAGGCCACGTGCTATACCAGCAGGTTGCAGTAACCGCGGCAGACGCTAGCCAATCACAAAGATTGATAGTTGACTTACTTTGGAATCGAGTGGGTCGAAAAGTTCACCAACATGACTGAACCGAAGCCGCGTCTCCAGCCCACCCACCCCCCGCGTTCCTTTGGACTCCAGCCACACTCCGCCAAGAGACTAGAGCACACGCACCAACACCCCCTTCCCGGTCCCGGTTGCATCAAACTGCCGAGGCGGAAAAAAAATTACATCTAAAGAGCAAAAAAAGAAGAACGATGCGGTGCGGTGCGGTGGTCTGTAACCAGCACCTGGGCCGGCCGGACACCTTTTACTGCCCATCTCTCTCTCTCTCTCTCTCGCTCTCGGTCTGCTATCGCTGGAGCTGCTGCCTCTCTGTCCCTCCCACGCACTAACAAGCAGGCCAAGCGTTGCGTGCTGCCGTCCTATAAGGCCCGTCCCTCCCCCTCCCCTCCCTCCACTGCCGCGTTCAGCGCGCCGGCTGACATGCACTAGTGCGCCAGTTTCCTCGTGCGTCGTGCGATACTGCCGCCCCGCCCCGCCCCGCCCCGCGCAGCGCGCCGAAGAGATGCTCCACTGACGGGGCTTGCTCGCGGACTACTCGTGTGTGTGCCGTCAGCTCAGTCGGCATCACTGGCCGGGCCTGCTGTCAATCAGCAAGCTCGGTGGGATAATTGGCTTCCTGGACGGCGGGGATGGTTGCGATGGTGTGGCGTGGACGACGGGACGGGTGTATTTAGATTGTCCGACCTATTTTTCTCCGACCTAGTGATTTTTCTAAAATCCCCTAAAGTGCTTGGGCCGTAGCGCCAAACGGGCATTGCAGGTAGGCAACACCCACGCCTGCGTGCGGTACAGCATCACCACGACGACTGGCGGGTTCGCCTACCCCAGGTGTCCGGAGCGCCTTACGGGCAGTGCGGCAGTGTGGCACTAAGCTTTAGACGTGAATCACCTCCGTGCAACCGGCAG